ATATATATATATATATATATATATATATATATATATATATATATATATATATATATATATATATATATATATTAAAAACATATATATTGATTATGCATCATTTAACATCTATTTAAACACTTGCCAACACTATGTAATTGTTCATTATTACTAAAAATTTTTGGTAGAACACTAACTATTTATGTTTTAAGGTAAGTATAATTTAGTTGGAATTAATATATACTATTGACCGTTAAAAGTTTATATTTCTTAACAAAGGGCGATGAAAAGTGAATAAGGACGGCAATGAACACTTGAATTAACATTAAAGAGATTGATTTATATACGATGAGAGGTTGAATTTTGTTAAGAAATTGAACATTATTTAATATATGCTTTTGTTAAGAAATTGAACATTATTTAATTTAAATAAGCAGTAAATGACTTTAAGAAATATATTATTGTTCCAATATCCATTTGTCGTTGCTAATATCATTCTTATTAGAAAAGAGAAATTTTTCAAGAAGAAAATTTTAGGAACTATGATTTATCAAGGTGTGTATCCCTTAAGGTGTGCTGGTGTTGTTTGTGAAAAAGAAGGATATCAAGTTATGTATCCTTTTGGGGTGCGCCGGTGTTGTTTGTGAAAAAGAAGGATGACTCGATGTGCTTGTGCATTGACCACAGGGAGTTAAACAAGAGAACAGTAAAAAATAAGTACCCACTCCTTCGCTTCGAAGATTTGTTTGACTAGCTTCGAGAAGCGACAATATTTTCCAAGGTAGAACTTTGGTCAGACAAACGCCTGATTAAGATCAAAGAAGGAGATGTACTGAAGACAGCCTTTCGAACAAGGTATGACCATTACGAGTTTGTAGTGAGGCCTCATCAACGCCACAACTGGGTTCATGAAGTTAATGAACCGAGTACTCAAGGAGTGTCTAGACACGTTTGTTTTCGTGTTTATAGACGACATTCTAGTATACTCAGGACAAATCAAGAGCACCAAGAACACCTCCGAAAAGTCCTAAGCATATTGAGGGAGAACAAGTTGTACGCCAAGTTCTCCAAATGTGACTTTCGGCTACAACAAGTCTTGTTCTTGGAACATGTGGTGTCAAAAGATGGAACTTCAGTAGACCCTCTACGATTGAAGTTGTCACTAAGTGGGAACGACCAACTATAGTTACAGAGGTACGAAACTTTCTGGGGTTAGTAGGATACTATCGAAGGCTTGTGCAAGACTTTGCTAGAATAGCCCACCCCTTACACAGTTGACGAGGAAGGGCATAGCATTTGAATGGAATGAGGCATGTGAGACGAGTTTCCAAGACTTAAAACGGAAGTTAGTGTCAGCTCCAATGCTCATAGTACTAGAAAGTTCAAAGGGGTATGTGATATATAGTGATGCCTCCAAGAAGGGACTAGGATGTATATTGATGCGACATGGTAAAGTTGTGGCGTATGCATCCCGTCAGTTGAAAGAGTATGAGAAGAACTATCCCACACACGACCTAGAATTGGTCGTAGTAGTGTTCGCATTAAAGATTTGGTGACACTACCTATGGAGAAAAGACCCAAATCTAAACCGACCAAGAGCCTAAAATAATTATTCACCTAGAAAGAACTAAACATGAGGTAAAGAAGGTGGTTAGAATCGGTGAAAGACTACGATATTGACATCTAATACCACCCTGAAAAGGCAAACATGGTCGCAGATGCTATAAGTCGTAAAACGATACATTCGTCGACTTTCATTACTAGGGAGTCGTGAGTTGACATAACTGTAGTGACTGAGGGAGTTATAGCACAAATGATTCAACTCACAGTATAGCCCACGCTCCGGTAGAGGATTATCAACTCCCAACTAGAGGACCCTAGCTTAAATAAGATATTGAGTCAGCAAGTAGACAGTTTTTCGAAGTCATGAGATGATGACTTGGACTATTATGTCAAAGAACTATTTATGAGTCCCGTAGTTTTTTGTTTCTAAAGACGAAAAAAAATTTACCATTTATTTTTGTGTTTAAATCTTTAGCCGAGACTTAAAAAACAGTTCATAACAAGCCAACCAAAAAATGTTTACTCGAGAATACTTTTGTCATTGATTGGAGCTTAAATGTCGTCGTTGGGCACTAGAGGGATGAAAACAAAGACAATCCTTGATTACAACTTCATTCAATCTTGACCAATGGAGACTGGTAAACTCAAAATTGAGCAAACAAACACAAATTTTGCTACGACACATGAACAACAACTTAAGCTAATCCAATAATGACCCAAGGCAAACAAGAGAGGCCCTAGGAGATAGTTGACATGATGATATAACAATTAGAAACAAAAAAGAAAAAGAAAAACAGTACACAAATGTAACGATAAGGTGAGTAAATGAAAAGTCCTGGTAATTAAAAGACGAAGATCAAGTGTAGAGACCTTTTTTCACCAGAGTAATAAAAACATGAAGATCATCAAGTGTACATTCAAAAAATAAATAGATCCTCGTACACATTGACACCAGACAAGGAGTTCGATAGATAATCTATAGCGTAAGGTAAGAACACCAAAAAGGTACACTACCTACAAACGACAATACAATAGTGACCCATAAGAAGCAAACTTCATCTGGGGCCACTACTTTTCTGTTTAGCCTTTTCGATAAGGGGTTTCAACTGTTTTTTTTCCGCAAGAGTCTTCAGGAAGTTGAACAAAAAGGGTATGTAATTGTGTTTCCTTCTGATATTTTCAGTTCTCCACTTCTTGAGTTTTTCTTCTTCCATCAATATTTTCTCTGTAGCACCCTCAATCCCAGCATTTACTTCTGATAGCGATTTGTTTAGGAACTCATTATTGCTATTTTCCAACATTGTTTCTGACTGCAAGGCAGCCAACTGCTGCAAGATGCGCTCTCTCTTCTTCTGGAGCTCCTTAAGCTCAGCAGTATACATTTCTTTTCTATTCTTAATTATGGCCATGAGGTTGAATCTTATCTCACTTTTTGAGTACCTTTCAATGCGTTCTTGAATCACGGGCTGAACCATCTTCAGCCACTCTAGATCACCTGGACTGCCTGGGCAAGGGCCATGGCTAATAGGTCCCTCCTTTAACCCATCAAGTTCATAAAGTACCCCTTCGATAGGTAAGTAGCTTATAAAATGGAACACATCATCATCCTTGCTAGAAGCTTTTTGTTCATTAGGAACAAAGGGTTCTGGTCTTGCAAAACTATTATGGGCGGTACGTATAGCTTCACTATTATTAATAGCCAGACCTTTGAGTTCTGGGGGGAAGTTCTTCGTAAAATCCTTCAACTTGGATAATTCTGGGCCAATGTCGATATCCGGGCAATTCATCAGAATAGACAAGATTGCCTGAGTTGCACAAGCATTGTTAATTACCTGTGACACGAGAAAAAAGACTGAAAGTAAGCAAAAGTCAACCAAATAAGCTATACATTCCTACTTGTCGTTTAATAAGTGAAGGCTTTCCATGTTCGATATCATGCTGACCTGACTCGCAAAAAATAGATTTGGGTTGGGATCCTTAATAACAAGACGATCATCTTTGTCCCCTGGACGCCATTTGAATAGAAATATCAACCCATACACAGGCCTGAAGATTATAATAGGATGGAATAGATTAAAATACATTTGTCTTATTTATAAAATATTTAACACAAAAATCAAACACCATACATGCCTCATATTGTTAAGAGAGTCAAGATCCAACGAGTACAACTCTTCAACCTGAAAAAATATTGTTTTCAAACCAGCTATGTAACATTATAACACCCTAGCCCCAATGAAAAAAAAAAAGAATTAGGGAAGAGAAACATACATCAAGTACACATACTTTATTTATTTATTTTTTTACTGAAAAATACATCAAGTATATTGAAATCCTGGACAATCAAATGATGACAAAATGAATGCGATCCTCGCCTATTTCTTGCATATGCTGTGCCTAAGAGATGACCATGACATATATGTTTTTTCTTTTTTGGAGTACATGACATTTATGTTAGAGCATATATAAATATAATATTCCAAAAAAAAAAAAAAAACATAAATGACCTTGTTTTTCTTTTTACCCAAAAGCCTTTTATCTTTTTATGTCCAAGTTCAACATTATAAACAACATTTGTCTATAAAATCCACATAGGTGGAGTGGAGTATTTGCAAAGCGATGCTAGGTGAGTTCAGCAGCAAAAATTTCAAATTAAGACCAAAGAATATATTTAGAACTTAAACAAAAAGATTAGCAGATAAATATGCTAATATACTCTTACCAAAACACCAAAATGTCCATCGCATAAGTTTGGAGTTTTAAGAATTGAACAAAGAGGGGTCCTCTGATCGAACCACAACCTTAAGAGGTCACTCAAATAATGGATACTCATAACCCTCTGAATGATACTTAAAACTATTATATATATATATCCAACCCGTATGAGACAAGCTTATTGTCTACAAAAGAGAAAACAAAAAGAAAATTCAAATCCATTGAAAATCCAAGATCCTAAACTTCGGAAAAATTATGCTCGAGGAGAATCCTCCCGATTGATTCAAAATAGTAGAAGAATCGCCAAGCTCGGAAAGAAGTGTGGAACTTAGGAAATTACTAGTTTTCCCAAGAGTAAACTAAAATCACTAGAACTTCTATCCCTTGCTCTTAGCCATGCTTAGCCCTTACTAAATTAAAAATCATTAGAACAGTACTATACTATAAATCTTCGTACTAGTTACAAAACCAAATATCATTAGGATTCATGGAATAAACCTTTGCACTATTTACTATACTTAATAACACTAGGATTCACAGAATAAACCTTTGCACTAGTTACTGAATTAAAAATCATTAGAACAGTTTTATCCCTTGCTGTTAGCCATGCTTAGCCCTTTTTTCAACTGGATATTAAAACTTTTTTTCTCAAGGAGGACCTAGGAGTATTTATGAAATGAGCTAGAACCCCAAGAAAAAAGGGAGAAAAAAAGTGAGAAAGATTAGAACATTAAGCTATCTTTTAAGGATTTGTTAACTCTTTTTTTCTCGAGAGACAACTTTATTTTTGTTTGAAATTTACAAAAGGGATGTATCATCCATGATGTTTACAAAAGACATTCCCAATTTACAAGGAGGGAAGTATGACTATAGGAAGCAAAAATATTAGACAATTTATACCAAGATATAGCGTGGTAAACAACACTATCAAAGAGCTCTGTAAAAGTTGTCTTTTCCCTAAATACTCCTTGATTTATTTATTTCCACATAATCCAAAAGAAAGTCATGATGAGATTTTTCCATGGCAGTGCCTTTGTATTCTTGAAGGGGTGACACATTAACGTCATGTCTAATAAATCTTTTACCTCTCTAGAAAACGTGAGATGTCATTTGAAGATGTTGAGAATCCTTGTCCGGAAATTTTAAGTGTATGTGCATTACATAAATAAGTGGCTTTGTGATTCGTTGTCTTTCTTGCATAATGGACACCAATTCGTTGTCTTACACTTGTGCTAATGCCTTCATGCACTATTTCGGTATGGAAAATTTTCACCTTTATAGGGTGATTCCCTTCCCATATTGTCTCCTAGAGTGGGGTTTATTGCTTTTACTTTTTTCCCTGTCCAACATCAAATATTTTGTAGAGACGACTTTGCCGCCTTAGAAAGCCATAGCAATAAGTCTACTTCTTTAGATAATACAATTGGGGCAAGATCAAGGCTTAATTCGGCTCATTCTATAGTTTCAGAATCCTTTAGGTTCCTACCAAACTTCAAGTCCAAGAAATTAATGACATCATTCCATGTTTCTTTGACCGTGGTTGTTTTGTTATGTGAGAGTCTATACAGAAGTAGATACCGCTAGGTGTTTTTAATCCAAGGGTCGATCCAAAAAAATGTTCTTCCTCCATCACCCACACTATGGTGAATTTGGTTGGTGATGAAGTATTAATGTTTTTTTTTTTTTTTTTTTTGCGTACTTTCATGACCCATTTGCAAAAGATGGAGGAGGTCTATTTGTACATGATGTAGGAGAATATATAGCCTTTATAAGTTTTCTCCACAAAGTGTTTTCTTCGATATCTCCATATCCATTTAACAAGGAGAGCTTCGTTCTTCTCCTTTATCGAAAATAGACCAAGTCCTCTCTTGTCTAATGGGAGATTTATGATATTCCGTCTAATAAGGTGTGAGTCATCTTTCCACGAATAGTTTTTGAATAATCTTTCTATATTCATAGCCACTTATTTTGGCATTTTGAATAGAGACATGTAGTGAGTGTGGAGATTGGACAGCGTGGTTTGTATTAGGGTAAGCCTTCCACCTTTGGAAGTATAACATGATGACCATGTTGACAACGTTCTTTCTGTTTTATCAATAATAGTCCTATTTACAACCGTATCTACGGGCAAGTTTTTGATAATCTCTATGCTAGCATTAATGCCCATATCTCTATTCTTTGGATATTGATATTTTGTCCTGGGAATCTTTCAAAGGTTTTTACCATCTCGATCATTTTTTTTATGGAGGAGACATCTAACAAATCAGAGAAGAGGATTGTATCATCTATAAACTGAAGGTGGTTGATGCTTAAGCCTTTGTTGTCAATTTGAAAGCCCTTTATCTGCCCTTCGTATTCAACCTTGGTGAGTAGGCGACTGAGGCAATCCATTACCATTATAAAAAGAAAAGAGGATAGATCCCCATTTTGAAGACCTTGTGTGGCATAAATCTTTCCTTTAGACATATACTATCTCACCCAAGGAAACTCAAATAGTGGATTGCAAGAAAACAAGGTTAGAATCTTATTAATAGAATGAATAGTTACAATCATGAGCTTGTATTTTCTTTCAACAAGACCATTTTCTTGTAAGGTGTGTATACAATACTTGTTATGCACACAATAGCATTAGAAGACTATGTCGCTCTTTGTTTGTGCAAACCTTTGTGCAAACCTATGGTATATTTCCTAATATGGGGATCTAATAAGTTGTTTCCACTTTTGTAAATTATAAACTCGACTTCCTTCATCTCACTAATAGATGAGTATGCTGCTCTTCAATTCAATATGGCATTGGATTCCTTCCAAAGCATCCAATAATCACATCCATCTTGCTCAATTTCCCTGTTTGTATAACCCAATTCCAATCACGAGGAAAGCAATTAAAAGAAGCAAAATTATTTGAGCCCATTTCAATTGATCAAACTTTTCTTACATCTAATTCTAGGAGCTTAAGAGGCATCAGATGTACGTATATTCAGATTACAATAGCATGCATAATCAGACATATGGGCCAAAAGAGCAAGTCAACGGAATATGGAAAGAGACCATTGGCATCCAAATAAAACCTACTTGAACGCCTTTAACTTGCATCTGTTGAATAAGCTCCGTAAAGACACCTGGGAAGGAAACAAAATAATCCAAAAAAAAAAAAAAAATTCTTAATTCAATTGAACACTCATAAACCATTTCTTCAATACTACAAAATATATTAGACATTATATTCCTACAAGCGTGCTATGCAGCTTGTTATCTACTTGTTTGCTAATATCTATCCAGAGGTAAACGTTAAAATAGACAGATTGAAAAAGCATAAATTTAATACTTGAATAAAGAAGGAAACCAGAGACCAAAAAAAGATTGTTTACCAGGGTCAGATTCAATCGTGCACCAAGACATGATGATTCAGAAGCTGCACCACACAAAGGGATCTTCAATGCATATACCAAGCATGGTTTAAAATAACATATTTTTAGAAAATATAACTAGCAGCGCTTAACAGCAATTGATCTATATCCGCCAGTGATAACTAAAAAAATGGGCAATAATGTAGATTAACAAGTTGAATAGATTTTATTGGGAAAAGACAATAAATGACTGGTAATACGGACATTTCTGCTTCAGGGATAACTTCTCAGACGTGAAAGGAAGGTGGCCAAATTTCTATCTGCCAAAAGACGTATTTGCAAGGAAAGATATGGAAACATAACAGAGCTGGGATCTACACTATCCCACAAGTATTACTCACCCAGGGGTTTCCCCTTTTTCCACCAACAAAAGTGTCTAATGGGACAATCACAACATTTTGCTCAATAACAGGAAAGTAAAGCTCCAAAGTGCGAGTTCCCCACAATTTTCGTTTTAAAAATTCTAGAACTTCATATTTCATTATCTAAAACTAAATCTATAGCATCCATAACACCTACATGCATAAAACACAACATTGCCCATTACTAAATCTCCAAAATAATGTGGGCCTGGACAAAGCAACGGATGAATCAATAACAAGAAATGACAGAACAATACATCAAATTATTGAGAAGCTATCTCAGAAAGAGAGCAAGAGAGACAAACTCGAGGAACGGCTTAACGTGCAGTTTTTTGCTTCTACCGTTATTCAATTGTGTTTCGATCAGGGCGACAAAGTGACGGGCTTCAAATGAGGATAATAAGCATATGCAACAAATCAAAATTGCGGTACATCCACATCCTAATCGGAACAGCCTAACACAAACCACGTCCAAATTTACCAACGTAAACGACTATTTTTGTAGAACAAGCCCTAATCAAATAACTCCTCCTCCTTTCATTGAAGAAGCCCTAATCTATGCCTTTCAATAGAGAAGAATGACATTTCTTGAGATTGTGAGAATACCAGTAACAACAAGAGTGTAGAAAACCAGTACAAACCTGCTAGGAAGGAGGCTGCGTCGGCACGAGCGGAAGAAAGACGACGACCGCGGCAGAAATTAACGGGCGAGAGGTGGCAATTACACTGATCTGCTAAACCGGGGATGAGATGGCGTGAAGATGAAGAAGTAGGCGGCGTGGAGCGCGTGAATAGATTAGGGCTGCTGAGCTGCCGAGCTGCCCATTCTCTCTCTCTCTCTCAAGAAAATAGTGGGCTGATATATTGGATACTAGGGCGGGTCAGGGCTTCTTTTGTTTCATTGAAAAAAGAAAAAAAAAAATGTTTGGCAGGAAAAAACGTGGAATTCAAGGAAAACAAAAGTTATATTTGATGTTTCCTTTGTTGATAATAAACTTATAAAGTCGATTTATTTAAACGATTGTTATTGATATAATACAGTGTTAAATAGTAAATAATAATCTAGAATGCACTAGCATGACAATGTTGATAATCCATTACTTCCACAACATCAAGATCCCTCAATCAATGTAATATATAACAACTAGAAAATTATTAAAAGGGTTTAGGGTTTAGGGTTTAGGGTTGAGAGTTTGGGGTTTAGGGTTTGGGGTTGAGGGATTGAGGTTTAGGGTTTCGAGTTTAGGGTTTAGGGTTTAGGGTTTGGGGTTTGGGTTTGGGTTTAGGGTTTAGGGTTTAGGGTTTTAGGGTTTTAGGGTTTAGGGTTTAGGGTTTAGGGTTTATGGTTTTAGGGTTTTAGGGTTTTAGGGTTTTAGGGTTTTAGGGGTATAGGGTATAGGGTTTTAGGGTTTTAGGGTTTTGGGTTCAGGGTTTAGGGTTTAGGGTTTTAGGGTTTTAGGGTTTAGGGTTTTAGGGTTTAGGGTTTAGGGTTTAGGGTTTTAGGGTTTTAGGGTTTAAGGGTTTTAGGGTTTAAGGGTTTTAGGGTTTTAGGGTTTTAGGGTTTAGGGTTTAGGGTTTAGGGTTTAGGGTTTAGGGTTTAGGGTTTAGGGTTTAGGGTTTAGGGTTTAGGGTTTAGGGTTTAGGGT